AGGGTTAATTAGTTTTCGACGACTAGGGCCCCCGAGTTGGGCGTCTCCACTGTTACGAGTTAATTAAGTGAAATTTTTTGACGTAAAATAAAACTTACGTGCTCTCAAAACTACGTTTTAGGTCGAATATTGTATCAATCCAAACCTCTAATAGTTGACAATTTTACAAGCGTCCGGGAGGATAAAATTGCATTCTCGGGATATAAAGGATCCAAAAATTTTCCGGGGGGCGTCCGCCCCCCGGACCACCTCTCCTTACTGGGGGGGTCTCCCCTCCCCCTCCCCCCTCCCCCCTGGGGGCCGTCTCGATACGTCGCCGCGGCCTAACTTTTTTCACGCCAATCCGAGCCTGCCAAAAGTAACACATTAGAACACAATTACCTATTTTTGTTAGTGCAGTTATTAACATAACGACGTGGCAACACTCGTAAAAGCCCGATAAAATATCTATTTTGAGGATAGTTATTAATATAAAAACGTGGCAACTTTCGTATTACGACCCAAGAACCGGGCGGTCTAACAAATCCAGCCAGCTGATCATTGAAATTGATAGACAAAACGATATACAAAGACAACGCACTAAAAATAAAGCGACCCTATTGGTGATAGCGGGTGGTTGCAATGGACTTAGGAGGCAAGTATAAACTAACTAACAGCTACCCGGCAGAGACCCCGCATAGTTAGTTTTTCATTTTCTCCATTATTCTATGACAACAACCCTCCCCAACCAATAGGATCGCCCCATGTTCCCTGTGTCCTTTTTGTCTATGGGTTTGCCTGTCAGTTTCAATATTCCGCCCACACCTCACTGATGGCTATTAATGGAGCTACAGTCGCTACGAAACGCGTTCCAAATAAAAATGTTGATTGCAGATGAGTGCGAAAATTTTTAAAATTGTATTTACACTGAAAACAAATTTTCTTGAGATATTACTTTGACTTAAAGCGTCGTTTCTTGTCGGCACTTTTTTTTAATTTTATTTTTTTTTCCCCATTTTAAGTTAAAGCCTTGCGGGGATGAATCAATTTTTAATTAAAAAGTGCCGTTTGCTATCGTTAAGTTGAAGTTAAAAAAAAAACGATAGCAAAACAACGTTTTTTAGCCCAAAGAAACTGACTATAAGTTAAATTATATTCCCGTGTTCCCCATGAAATGAAATGGTGTAAAAAAGCTGCCAGCTACAAGGTCACATTTATGCCTGCGCCTATACTACGGCTGTAGTTTTGAAGCACCTTGAAAACTACAGTCATGGAGCATACAGGTAGGTATCTTTTTTGCTGTCAGTTTTTACCCATCATGTTAGTTTGACTTGCCATCCCGGCGAGAGAACTACTTCACAGTTCTCAGTACTGAAGTAATTTTTCATGTTGCAAGCGGACCACCATAAAAGAAAAAAAAAACCGGTGAATTGGTATGGTCAGGTGCCCCGATTTATCTGTAAAAAACGATGAGATTGTGCCGTAAAAGCAGTCCCAGAATTGCTCGAAATAACTTTTGCAATACTTGCGTAAAAAATTTTCGCAGAACTGTTGAGATCGTGCAAGTACCTACTGCAACAAATGGTTGATACTACGAACGAAAACGAGCGAATGATTTCATCTTAAATTTTTAGTCTCTACGCTGCACAACCAAGGATTTACCAGTGATATTTCACCGATTGCATTGATGATGAAGAAGCGAATCTGAAGAAAAATTAAAAAGGAAAAGACCAATTGGAGTACCTTCGGGCCCTGAGGAGTGCGCTAAGTGGGCTTTCATAGTAAATCCGGTAAAAATGCTAAGGACACATTATTTGAAAATAAAATTTAAAAACTCACTAGTCAGAGAAAATTCGAAACCACCCGACGCGCCTTTCGACCCGTTGGATCATCATCAGGGGCGCGACTTTTTAGTTTCGAATTTTCTCTGAATAGTGAGTTTTTAAATTCTATTTTAACCGTTGACCAAGTCTGGTACTTTTTAAATAATTGAACATATTATTTTCTTCAACCAAAAAAAAGAGAGAGAAAAAAAAAAAATTAATCCGGAGCTTTCCACCCATCATTTACCCTTACATGCCCAAGACTTTTTTTATACGCGAAGTTCTCAAGTCGGGTCAAATTGACCCGAATTTCAACACATCAATTTTAATAGTTTTTGAATTATTATCTATGTTATATTTGGACCGCGTTAAACAGAAAGGAACCAAGCCACATCAGCCATTGCCAAATTTAATAGGGCATTTTAATTTTTTACATGAAAACGGTTCTGCGGATTTTCGTGCAAATTGCAGTGAAAATTCTCCATAGTTTGAAGCAAATTCCTTAGAAATTTCAAAGGAATCCGCACAAACGTTCTCTCGTAAATAATTGTATTGCTCGTCTAAATTTGGCAATAGCTGATGTGGCTTGGTTCCTTTCTGTTAAACTCGGTCCATTTATAATTCTATGCTTTTGAGGGTAAAAAATTATTTTTTATGAAATTTCCACCTTAATGGTAACATACCGGCGCTTTCTCTCCCTTTCTCAGTCGCCATATCGATGACCAAAGTGCAAAACCACCTACTCCTATAGCGGTGCTTCAACATTTCCGCCACTATTTTATTTTTTCGAAGAGAAACAAGCCGTCTTAACAACTGGAAATTTACACAGAATATTTCGCTGAAGAGAGGAAAATCTGGGAAGTTTTCAAGGAAGTGCGGCAAGTAGTTTTCCAAGGAAAAAATAAAGTATGACAGGAAATTTGTAGCGTCGTAAACGGAGGTACTTTGTTTCACACTTTTGTCATTGATGCATCAAAAATTATTCAAATAATATAAAAAAAATTTTTTGTACCACTGACCCAATGTTGATCGGAAACTTTCATACTGTCAGAAAGCTTACTACAAAAGCCTGATACAAAAGGTAGAAGATTATAATCTTTACTAATATTAAATTTATATCTTATTTCAGCTGTTATTTAATTAAATTTTTAAGTAATTTAATTGTATTTAATTTTTCATTTTTACATATAATTTTTAATAAGAAGCTTACTCGTCAAAACTGGTCGACAGAGATTGTCTTTGTAGAACTTCTGATGGAAATAGAGCAAGGTGAGGACCCGCGTTGATGACGGCGCAGAGATACAACTATTCGTGCTTGATGGATGTTCGTGTTGCATCCTGCAAAACTGAAGGCGCGATGGCCCGAGACGTGAACTCGCAATGCTCCGCTACATGCTACTGGTGACGTTTGGCTTGTTGTTGGACTCGAGGGAAAATTTAAAAAACGAAGCCGAACCACGTATTTCCTATCTTCGCTGTGTTGCTCTTGTAGCCTTTGAAGCACATCACTACGAATAAAAAAATAGAAACAAACACAACCTGGAAATGGAGCAAGGAATAGGACCGCGTTGATGACGGCGCAGATAGACAACTATTCGTGCTTGATGGATGTCCGTGTTGCATCTGCAAAATTGAAGGCGCGATGTCGCGAGGCGTTAACTTGCGATGCTCCGCTCTGAGCAGCCAATGACGTTTCGCTCAGATTTGAGAGAAATAGAGTACGTCTCTTCTATTTTCAGATGTGTTGACTGTCGACACTCCTTTGTTTCTTTTCTTCGCATCGTCGATCATTCAGCATCATTTGTCTGAAAAAAAGTTACGGGCAGGGGGCATCCTGGGCCCTTAATTTTTGTTGCAGGGCCAAAACATATGGAGGTAAAATACGGATGACAAAAATCGAAAAGTGCGCATCCCAATTTCAACGTTTATAAATCTCTTATTATATTTTAAATGTTTTCAAATTTTACTAGGATCAGTTTGAATATCAAAGGTCGCCTAATACTTTTTAACAGAAACCCGAGTAACATTCTAACTTAAAATTATTCAAGGCGTTTTGACCAACAAAAATAACTGCTAACATAACAAAACATCGTCACCTTCCGGTCAAAGTATCACATGCGCCATTCGACGTTTCAAAATTTCCGCCGCCATTTTATTTTTAACAGAGAAATGGTTGAATCTGTTTGAAAATTTCACTGAATTTCATCGGTCGCACAAAGAAAATTCAGCGCAATTTTTTGGCAGCTTCGTTGACCAATTTCTCTGTAAAATAACAAAATGACGGCGGAAATTTTGAAACGTCGCATGGCGCTTGTGATACTTTGGCCGGAAAGGTGACGACATGTCGATAGCCAATCCCTTTAAATTTGTAAAAATCTCATGGGTTTCCTTCCGATATTTTTGAGGCGCCATCAAATCCACTTGCGATCCAATAAATAAGAACGTTTTTGAAGGTGTAAACGGTAAGCAGACGTTTACCATCTCGTGAAGATAGGCAGGATCCACCAACATGCAAATATGTCAGATAGCGGTACTTCATAACTGAAAATTATTTTTTTTACACTTTTAATACTATACACTTTTAAATGATGGCACAGCAACTATTTCACACTCGAAAAGAATGAATGATACCAGCACGTCTTTTTTTTTGGGGGGGGGGGGCTCACTAACATAATTTCTTGAAAACTTCCTTGATTTTTTGTTCTTATTGTTAGCTAGCAGAATATTCTGTATAATTCTAAAGCTAACACGTTGGCTTATTTCTCTTCGATAAAATAAAAAAGGAGTGGAAATTTTGAAATGCCGCAATGAAGGTAAATTGCTTTTTACTTTGGCTATCTATGCATGGAAATCAGGCAACGCGAAATGCAGTTAAGCTGATTCTAGCTGAATCTATGTCATATAAACTTGAAATAAAATCGTGTAGGAACATTTTAAATGGATGAGGAAAATTCACAGAAAATTTTATTTTAAAAAAAAACTGTTGAATACGGTTTCCATCAAAAAATTAAAACATGAGCGAAGATTTGAAGCAACGTCGCAATTAAACTAAAGTGTGTATCATCCCATGGGATGCGATCGTGCCAATACAATCTATTGAGCGCTGATTTGAATTTTCGCGGCCAAGCGGGTCAACGCTGACGCTGAACTACGGTAGCGCTCCTATTGGAGAAGGGTGACACTGCATGCCGGCACCAAAATTGTAAACAAAAGTTGTTTTGATGAGGTTAGAGTTCGTCTTGCGTTTTTCCCTTATAATTCTAAAAGTTTTTTGTTTCTCCACGAATAAAACGTCGTTCTTCCTGCTTCAGGTTACCGATCAACAAGTCTTCGAAAATTTCTCTCACATTAATCACCCAGCAGTTCTCCAAGTAAGCCCTTGCAACTTACACATTTCCTCCTCATATATTCTGTAACAATCCGTGTTTAGAATTTTTGGGTTTTACTCATGAAAAAAACAATTAAGATTGGATTTGTCAACAAGGAAACGCTGTACGTTGTTAGAGAGAAAGCCATTCAACATGACAGAGTTCAACATTAAAATCTTACCCAGATCGGTCCAGAATCTGACTGCCTTTAGACGTCTTGCAGGACGAATCGAGAGTCACCGACATTTAGTAAGCTTGTCATTATCGCTCACAGTTGCTGTAAATAGCCTGTTTATGAGAAAGCTTGTCTTCCTACCAAATGGAGACTTGACGAAGATAATTTGTTGTAATAATGTTACTTGGTTTTCTTTTAGGAAAGGAGGAAGTTCAAATATTTTTCCATGCCTTTGAATGAATAGGGTTTTTTTTCCCCTTTCTTTCTCTCATCTTCCTTTATGAAATAAGTTTAATAGGAGAATTATCAAGACATTTGTCAGAAAAATCTGGACATTAAGTGTGCATTTTTGGATCTCGTCATCGATCCCCAATGTGTTCGTAAGTATAAATAAAGTTTCAAAGGATAATTGGATCGCATTTAGCGAAAAGGAACCAGCGCGTCACAGTATCTTCAAAACCGTGCAACGTCTCTTTTTCCTTTGAAAATACTCAATACTTTTACAGTATTTTGTTGTATACAATTATTTTTCTTTGAATTTAAGGATTGTTGGATACGAAGGAAAAATTATTTGCTATTCTGGGAGTTTTTTTAAATATTTACGAAGAAGCCTCATTTTTACAATACTATAATCAAGCTGGTTCCTTTTTGCTAAATCCGATCCAATTATCTGTCCAGCTGTATCTTAATTTAAAGGCAACTGGCTAGTTTTATGTTAAAAAATGGGGTCAGCCATTAGATGCTTAGCTCTAAATGTAATGATGGCCTCCACAAAGTGAAAATTTTACAGCAGAATTTTGCTCTATCTTTGATTTTCATTTATTATTTCTTGCCCTCTATCCTTCTCTGTTTCAGGAGTCACAGCTATGAGTCGCAAAGAAGCTTTAACTCATTTCATGTCACAAATTCACGGAAGACCAGTCGTTGTAAAGCTCAATAGTGGTGTTGATTATCGAGGTAAAAAAAAACTCTTAACTACATGCACCTAAAAATCCTCTTTCCGATATCGGGTCAGCTCTTAAGTAGATGGTCTGTCTTGGCTACTGTGCACCCCTATCTCCATTGGGTATATTATGTGCTCAAGGGCTACTTAAACGTTAACATTTTTGAAGTAGGACATGTTTGAATAGCATTTTTCCTTTGAACAAACATCGCTTTGGAGGCGCAGTTCGAGTCAAATTTTCTTTACACATTCATGCTTTCAAAAAATAAAAATTGAATGGAATCTTGTTAATTTGAGCTTGCAATGAAGCTTTAAACTGCCTCAGCACTGCAAGACGTCACAAACACAGGCAACACATCCCTCTGCAGAATTGTAAAATATCCATCCTAGGAATATTTAAAAGTGAGAAAACATTTAACTGAAATTAGCACTTAAGTCTACATTTCGACAGTGTAAGTTGGCAATCACATAACTGGTTTGCAGTGTCTGAAAATCTCTGCCTCTATGTTATTTTTTTAAAGGAGAACAAATTGACATCATTCTTTGAAGTTTTTACAGGTTTTTCTTCGTACAGAGAAGAAAAATCATGGCAGTTTTAAAAAATTGCCTTTTAGTAGTTTTCCGTTTAAAAAATAAAGTATGATAGGAAGTCTGCGACATCGCAAACTGAGTTATGTGATTGTCGACTTACACCGTCGATTTGTCCCATGCTTGACAACACTATTGCTTGTCAGAGAGTGCTGAAAGCCTCTGTCTTTCTGATTGACCCATTCTAACTGTGCTAGAATTTTGGATCCATGGTGCAAATAGTTACTTAATCTCCTGCTCTCTACAATTTTCGTAAAAATATTTTACAATCTTGGCAGAAAGTTGTGTTTTTATTAATGACGGTGCTTGGTCATTTAAAAATTGGAGTAGAACATTGAAATCAATGGTTCTTTCAGGCAAACAGTATTATAGAAGATCCAAATTACTCCAATTTATCTTAAAAATAATTTTAAGAGTTAGATGTTTGCTGTGTTATGATTATTTTGAATTTGTTTGTATTTATATTTTGCCATTCATTTTACTGTGTCATTAGCAATTGGACGTAGTTCTACCAAACAGACCTATGTGGAAGTGAGAAATATGGGGTGTGCTCGTTGGTCTCTGGCCGTAAGAGTGAATGAGAATAATAAAGCGCCAGTGACGTCAGCGGCAATGAAAAAACGGGGGTGAGACGTCGACGTCGTCGTCGGGGCTGTTTAACTCATGAGCCCTGTCCACAACGCTCTCTTGCCCTGCCCGCGGCTCATGAGTTCCGCATTCAGCTGCACATAGGTCTGTTTGATAGAATGCAATATCCCGCTTTGCCAATTCTTCAAAAGGAACCACGCCCACTTTTACATTGCTTCTTATCCAGATTTCTAGAGCACACCCCACATTTCTCATCGCCACATAGGTCTGTTTGGTAGAAATACGTCCAATTGATCTAATGCCTCTATTTAATTTTGATTTCAGGAGTGTTAGCATGCTTGGATGGCTACATGAACATTGCCCTGGAACAAACTGAGGAGTACGTCAACGGTCAGCTGAAGAACAAGTACGGAGACGCTTTCATCAGAGGCAACAATGTGCTGTATATCAGTACGCAAAAAAGAAGGGGAGGATGATGTCTTGTGTCTAATCATTCTCATCTAACTTTGTTCAGGGATATCCAACTTTTGTACGCAGCATTCTGATCTTGTAAGATTACCATTTTTTATTGTCTTTACCCGATAATGATAGGTTTTAAGTGCTACTCATTAAGGAGCTCACTGTTTTTTATTTGTAAGGACCTGGAACTGTGGCAAGCTGAATATTAAAAATCAATTTATAAGTTCCTTACTCTTGCTTGTGTCATTATTTTTACCATTCTCTATCAAGGAATTTACGAATTCATTTTTTCCCTCTTGCTCATACTCATCGCTTCCTGTTGATGTAAGGACAAGAATAGGGTGAAATTCAACACCATTTTTACAGCATTTGAAAGTACGGAAAACCAAAAATTACAAAAAAAAAGCAGGCTGTCTCACCCAGATTCTAAATTTACTGCAGATTTAAATAGACTGCGTTTAGCATAAAGGAATTAAGCCACACTAGCTAATGCCAAATTTACCTGGGCAATTTAAGTTTTTACAAGAAAACGTTGGTACAGATTCCTTTGAAAATTTTAGGGAATTTGCTTTGTAGGTACTGTGCAGAAAACTCACCAAAATTTGCATAGAAATCCGCAGAATCATATTTATGTAAAAAATTGAATTGCCCTATAAAATTTGGCAACAGCTAATGTAGCTTGATTCCTTTCTGCCTAATATGGTCCAAATGAAATGAGACCAGTGCTGCCAACTTGCAAAAATTGTTACCCAAGAAATCTAGCTGCTTCATTGGTACTGATTGAATCACATGCCTGACTTTTATTAAGAGAGTATTGTGGGAAGATGATCTTAAATCTTTGAAGGACCAAAAATCTCTACCGTAATTGAAGAAAAAGTCTATTGTTGAAATTTCCTCATTTCACCACTAGATTAATAAACTTTGTTCTTTTAAAATTCGCCAATTTTTCCCTGGGTAATTATCAAAATATTTCAGTATAATCATGTAGTGCGTTTGCAAAAACTTGAAGTCTTTTCCAAAAAACAAAACGAGGCATCTGAGGCAGTTTCATCGCCAGGAAAAAATTTCCATCAGCCTCTCATGGGTGTCTGGCATAGAAGCAAACTCTATTACATTTTTTCCTTCACAGTTTGACTGTTTTGAGTCAATGGGTTCTGTGTCATTTTGATTATGCCAAAGTGAAGAAGAAAAAATTCTTCTTACTGAGGATCATTCAAGTAATTAAAATAAATTTTTTAATTTTAACAATGTCGTGAAAGCTTCAAGTGTAATGTTATCTCAGATGTTTACATCTATGCATAATTTGAATATTATTTGTCAGAGACCTCTACATAATCAACAAGGTACCAAGAGCAAAAGAAAAAAATTAAAATTCCTCGAAGTATATAGGTACCTGCATAATGAAATGAGGGATCTTTTTTACAATTTCATTCATATCCCAAACAGCACATCATCCCTCTTAAAGTTCCCAAACTGTCCAATATTTTTTTTATATTTTTTTATTTTTCAAATAGCAGATGGTTAGTGTTTCAGTGTTGAATTTTTTTTCAATTGTATAAAATTCTAGGTATGCAAAAAGAAATCAAAACTTCGGTATTTGAATTTAAAAAAAATATATTTGGAAAGATAAAAAGAAAGAAAAATCTAGCAATATAACTTTTATCCTGTAAATTTGCGTGGATTTTTCGTTTGCGTTTACTTATCTACTGAATTTTTCAAAGGTTTGAAAAAAATTGTACAAGTTTGCTTAGTAACAATCAAATTTTCATCACGGCATTGAATCATGTATTTTCGTAAGGGAACAGGTCCATTCTTCGGTGAGTCCCAAGTTAACATGCCTTTTTATACAAGGCAAGGCTCAGGCAAAAATGGACTAGTTCCTTTTGAAAGCAACTGATTCCATTATTTTAGTATGTAGCAATGAGGCCAGGGCTCGTCACCAGAATGAAGTTACTTGCGGTATTCAACAAGTCAGGGATTTGATCCAATTTCATTTTTCCATGCAAAAATTATGTGCCGAAACCCGGGATCGAACCAGGGACATTTAGATCTTCAGTCTAACGCTCTCCCAACTGAGCTATTTCGGCCGGTGGAGGAGGCCGGCAAAATGTACAGGTTTCAATGGACTGCGCGTAGTGCGTGGCGCGTAACCTTCATCAACGCGAACACTTACGAAGTTAGAGATAGCGGGGTCCGCCCCCTGGTCGCTTTGTAGCGCCCCCTTTTTAATCAAAACTTTATCACTGCCGTGCTAGGGAAGAACACTGAACTTTCGAAAGTTGCCAAATTTCCATCAACAATATGACCATTTTTGAGAAAAGTAATGAATATTTTTCCTTGAAATTTTCAGCAACTTAAGTTGAAATTGCAAACGAAATTATCTAAAAAAATTCAAAGAAGAATATTCTTAAGTTTAGCCGGAAATTCTTGTTTTTTAAACTGAAATTTGGCAACGCCTGAACGTTTTTACGGCGTTTTTCCTTAGCACGGCAGATCAGTTCATGTAACTTGTTATCATCGACATAAGGTAGGTATGTATAAGTCCTCTCTCACTTACCTCTATCAGTATACCTAATTTTGAGGGGAAAAACTCCCTTTTCTGATGTTATATACCTTTTCAGTTCGTTCGCGTAGATACCTACTGCACTTCGATGGTTAAATTGCATAAACGCGTATTTTGGGTGCGGTGTTCCAAAATCTCCGCCTCTATTCAATTATTTCAAATGGGACCAAACCAACATCACAGCTTGGAATTTTCATGATATATTTTACGCAGAGAAGAAAAATTACCGAAGTTTCAAAACATGACGTTCAGTACCTAATTTTTTATGAAAAAAATAAGATAGAACATGAAGTCAGCAACGCAGCACATCGAGATAAGTATTTATTTCTGCAGTTTCACCACTGACTTGCTCGTAGAAGTACCGAGAGTCACTTAAGACACGATGTAGGCACCTCACCGTGCTGCAAACAAGGCTGGATTATACGACTCTCTTATTTACGGCTGTCTCATACAGTCTTTAAAGCACCGCTATAAATACAAATGAAACTGAAACAATCACAATATGGAAATAGAGCAAAGTAAAAAGAGGCGCGTTCATGACGGCGCAGAGATACAACTATTCGTACATGATGGATGTCCGTGTTGCATCTGCAAAATTGAAGGCGCGATGGCGCGAGCTGTAAATTCGCGATGTTCCGCAGCTCCGCTTTCTGTTGCCAATGAAATGTCGTAAGAAAATTAAGAGGCAAGGCTCGATTATTACGACTCTTCTATTTACGGCTGTCTCATACAGTCTTTAAAGCACCGCTACAAATACAAATAAGACAAACTGAAACAATCACAGTGCGTTGATGACGGCGCAGAGATACAACTATTCGTACATGATGGATTGCCGTGTTGCATCTGTAAAATTGAAGGCGCGATGGCGCTAGGGGGAACTCGTGATACTCCGTTCTATGCTGCCAGTGATGCATCGAGCAGATTCGAGAGAAAAAGTAAAAAAACTAGCCCCGATTACGTCTCGACTCTGTTGTTCCTCAATTTTTACATCTTTTTTCAATTTGAAGCCTGGTTCTTTTTTTTAATGTACCTACAAATATTTACAGACCTACATCTACGGCTCGTATGTACCGCGGTCCCTTACAACTCGCGTAGCGAGTTTTTTAAAAAAGTCTCCTGTCAATTTGACCGGTCTTCAGCATATAAGGGGTTAATGAAAATATATTTAAAATATGACTGCACCTTGTTCGAAAAAAACCCAGGATTCAAGAGGGGAGCCAAAAGAAGCCATGCCATTCACAATCAGTCTTGTGAAAGGATGTTCGGAGCAGTCACTGTAAAGCTCAGGAGGGACCAACGAACAAGTTAAAGCGCATAGAATTTTTCATATGGTATATCAAGTACATCACAACTTTCCGTCCCTGTGCTAAAAATGAAGTGGAAAATTTGAAGAAAATATCCAAAAATTCATTGGTCATTTTCGGTCTGCAGTGATTCTTCCCGTACGCTAACCTCCTAACGTTAATATACAAATTTTATCAACTTCAAAATAAATGTCTCTAAAATAACACCCAATGTAGTTGCTACCGACGACTGAACCAAGTGGTGCATTTAAAAAAATCCATTTTATCCTAAGACCATAAATAAAAACAAGCAAGTAAAAGCTACTTATTCAACTTTAAAAAATCGTAATTTACGCAAGCGGATACTTTCTAGATTCCTATTTCTCTATTTTGAGTGATAAAATATTGCCCACAAAAGAGGGGAAGAAAAATTCATGAAGCCGGCATAGCCGGATTTACCTACTTGCCGAGTACGGGCCGCCTGTATTTTGCCGCCATCTTCTCATTCATTTTGAAACACCAATAAAAACCATCAAGTGAACGTGCTGGAGGGAGAAGGGTGCATAAGACGCGTTCACTCGTGTTTAACACATTTTTTGCGTAAACCCTGTCAATAATACTATCAAACGTTCACAGAACTTCGCACGAAAGTTCAGTTCCGTAAACCTATCTCTGTGGGGACAAGGCCTTTCATTTGTAAGAGATTAACTTAAAAATAAAGAAAGAACAAACCTAAATGTGGTTTAAAAATTTTAACTTCCGCCGCCGTGCCACGCTGACCATACTGTGTCTGGCGCAATGCGTGAGGTATTCATGTAGTCTTGTAGGCACTGTGCCTGCGCCGAATACAGAATATCCAGAAAAAAGGGCTTTAAAGCTGAAATAAAACGAAAGCACCGACAGGACGTTTTGGCAAAATTACTCGTTCATTTCCAGCAGGAGAAAAAACTGAAAACAAAAATTTAAAACAAGGAGATGAGCGCAGAACTGTTGAATAAGGTCGTAAGGTCAATCTTTTTATCGTTCTATTACGCCTGACTCCCAGCGGCACGACAATCCCGGTCGCGAAACTGGCAGTTTTAAAAACGCCTTCAAGTGCGGCGTAATACCTCCCGCTTTCCGGAGAGTACGTATAGTTGTATCATTGCGCCTTACAAATGTGGCAGACGGAAGAATAAAATTGAAGTAGCCTCCACGCCTGCGGTGACCGCTTTCCCTTGATATTTTTTCATAGTTTTGACCGCATAATTAAACTGTGTTTAAGTTAGGATTTGAATTAGCGATCCGGCAGGTTTAAAAGGATGATTACAATAAATAAGCGGGTAGATGTAAAAGGTTTGTGGGATTTCAAAGCAACGATTGAATAAAGAAAATCCGGAAAGAAA